ATTTGATCAGATGGAATTGTTGGATTGCTCACCGGCCTGTGATCGCCCTGCTCCCTGGGCTGTGTCTTTGGATCCGCCCTCACGCCCAGAAGTCTAACATGAGATCGGACTGTCGAAGTTGTATAAAGCCGCGGGATCAGATGATATTCATCCAGCGCTCTTCAAATACGAGGGCCCTGCTCTTGTTGATGATTTACACGCATTGCTAGTGAAAATGTGGGAGCAAAAAACTGTCCCGACCGACCGCAGCCGCTCCGTTATTGTCCCGATCTTCGAAGCATGCTCGCTTACGGAATGCGCCAACCATAGAGGAATCAGTCTTATCCCCATCGCCTTCAAATTACTTGCCTCCGTAACCCTTCACAGACTGACTGGCGATCCTGAAGGCGAGATTCTTGAGGAGCAGGCCGGGTTACGTCGTGGTCGGGGTGCATCGACCACATATTCATATTACATCAATTGTTAGAGCACCGTCACCTATAGTGGCGGCCCACCGTTGTCGTGTTCCTCGATATGAAAAGCGCCTGCGATTCAGTGGATCAATGTGCTCTTTTGGACTGTCTGCCAAGGAAAGACGTGCCCGAGAAATATGTAACTATTATCCAAGCATTATACACTCGTAGCTCGGGCAGAGTGTGAGCTAACGGCAAGCTGTCGCCGCCGTTCAATATCTGCAGCAGTCTTAGACAAGGATGCCCACTGTCATTTTCTCTTCAACTTCGCTATTGACGAGGTCATGGAAATCGCGTTCACAGCACACGACTTAGAAGGTGTGGAGCTGCTCCCAGGTGAACGACTTCTTGACTTGGAGCATGCTGACGATATTACGCTCATCTGTGACATCATTCAATCGTGCCTAGCGACACTGGACAGATTTGCAGTGGTTGTCATCCGTTTCAAGCTATGCTTTGCACCCTCGAAGTGCAAGACTTTCCTCCAAGATTGGCAGGGACCTCCTACCTCGCTGACCCTTGCTGGGGATCAGCTACAAGTCGTTGAAAACTTCAACTACCTAGGTAGTTGTATCAGCGTCGTTGGAATCGAATACGAGATGACGAACCGCATAGCAAAAGCACGAGACGCTTTTTCTAACTTTCGCCACCTAGAGCGCTGGCGCGACATCATTCTCTCCCTGAAGGAAGGGTAGTGTACAATGCAGCCATACGTTCGATCCTACTGTATGGTTGTGAAACCTGGCCCATTAGATCAGCCGACATTAAGAGGCTAGTTACGTTCGACCACCGGTACCTTCGCAATTTGGCTCATATCTGGTGGGAACACCATGTGAGCAATTAGCGTGTTCGACGTCTTGTTTGTGTCGCAGGAAGAAGAAGCGAATCACTCAGCCTGTTATTTCACGCACCAGACTCCGATGGCTGGACCACGTGTTGCGCATGCCAGCCCACCGAGTCCCGCGACGTGCGTTGTTTGCGCGCCGTGGGTGTAGATGGAAGCGGAGGAGAGGTGTCCAAGCGATGACTTGGTAAAGAGGAATGAAGACCCTTACTTCGAAGTTGGCATTGGTTGTAGCCTCTCGGCTCCGTGGTTGGGGACCGAAGGGCGATGAACACGTTTGGCTGAATACACTTGTTGACATAGCTAGAAGCCGACCTCAATGGCGTTTGTGTTGTGAGTTTCTTTGTCCTTCCCACCCCAGATTAGTCTCCCCTCCAACGACGATCTCAATTGTTAGGGATATTATGACTGTTAGCTTTCCGGAACGATGTCCATCCGTTACTGATGACTGTCGGCCTGCCTCTTTTTCTTGTTTTTTTGTTTCTTTTATATCGCGGCACAATAGCTAAGGTGTCTTCCACCTGCAGCTAACGTGTATAATGAGGATGACTCCCTTGGGGGCAGGAAATTCGTCCTGCGCCGCGTGGCCCGGTGACCCGTGCGGTTGCTCGTACATTTTGCGGAGTAGCTTGGCGCAGCACTTCTTGTTGAAGATAAGTTGTACCGTTTCTGACATGTATTGACCTGGAGCAATTTTAGCGATCTACGGATTTATCCTGTTCATCGGCCATGAGTTGGATGACTTCAGGCGACGTTTGTTTTTCTGCTGCAATGCCGCAGGTGTCCAACAAGTGGTGCAATCCCAAATGCACAGACGAAATTGCTGGTCTGCATGGTTCTCCATGTCGCGCCCGAATTCGATTACGATGGCTAACCTACTGGTCATCGCCTACGGTGACACTCTGCGGCAAATCACCTTGATAGTTACGGGCGTATACCGGAACTCTAACGACGAACCCATTGCGATTGGTAAAGACAGCAGGCTATGTTGGCTGCTCTTCTCTTGGGATTAGGGCTTCGTGTGTGGTGCTCAGGCTACGGCTCGTCAATGTTTCGGCTGGAGACTGACTTCCGGGAGCTGCTTTATTTGATGTGGTCTGGTAAGAGATCGGAATCGCCTCAAGACATTCAACTCTGTGGCCCCTTCCCCACGAGCTTTCAGCAGTGTTTTCTTGAATCTATCGATGGAACGCTCCATTTGACCATTGGACTGAGGATGGTACGGTGGTGAGCCGATGTGTTGGATGCAATGACGGCGACAGAAATCTTCGAACATGTACGACGTAAACTGCGAGCCATTACCGAACACTAGGACGTCGAAAAGTAAATGTTGGCTGAAGATCCGCCGCAGACAAGCCAGACCGACGCATGCGGTCGATGGGTTGACGATGACGACTTCAGACCATTTCGAATAGGCCTCGACCGTGACTGCATAGGCGATGCCATCAATCGGACCAGCATAGTCTATGTGCACGTGGAACTACGGTTCTTGTGTCAACTATCAAGTGTCTGGTGTTTGGTGCGGTAGCATCTTGGATGCTTGTTGACATCGTGAACATCGGCGAACCAAATCTTAACTGTCATGGTCAATACCGGGCCAGTAGGCATAGCTGCGGGCGATTACCTTCATTCTGTTCGTACCAGAGTGAGCAGAATGGAACTAACGAAGCACAGTTTCTCGAAGATAGGAAGGAACCACGACTCGCTCCGCAGTCACGGCAAGCGTTGACCACAGAAAGAATATCGCGGCACTGCAACAGCTGCTTGAGTTCTCCTGATAGGGCGATGTTTAGCCAGATCGTCTGAACGTGTTACAGGTTTGTGCAGGACAAAGTCATATGTAGTTGCGTGACGTGTCGACATAAGTAGTGGGAAGACGGTAGGTACCGTTCCGAAGTTGGTATTGAACCTCCTCCTCGACGGTAACAGCGGCGATTACGGCGTTTTACTCTGTACCGTGTTCGGAAATATGGCGGGAGAGACCGTCGGTTTGACTGAAATCCTGGGTTCGGCAGTAGCAGATTTTGAAATCGGAACCAAGGAGAATGATAACTTGATGCTGTAGACGGCTGATTAAGTATGCTGGAATGCCCTTCTTAAAACCGAAGATTGACGGTAATGGTTTGTGCTCGATCAGCATCTGTAACGCCGGTCATACAGCATTTTGAAACTTCGTGATGGCAGACACAATGGACAGGGTTTTCTTTCTCAATCAGACCATAGTTCTCCGCGAGGATCAGCGTGCGTGAGACGTGCATAACGGTTTTTTCGGAACCATCCTGAAAGCTATGGGAGAGAACTACGTTTATCCCGTGGGCGGAGGCAACAGCAGCGATCAAAATCGGCAAAATCGGGTCGTAAGTGGTTAGTAGTAAATCAGAGCTCAGCATGGATTTCAGTTTAACGAGAGCCTTCTTGCAGGCATGGTTTTAATGCCAAGGAATACCCTTCTGCAACAAACGATTGATCGGGGCTCCTACATCGTGTAGCCATGACAGGAAGGCACTGTAGCAGCTCATGAAACCAAGGAAAGACCGCAGCTGTGAAAGGTACTTTGGAGTTGGCATCTGCTGGATGTCTCTGACGTTTTCGGAATCAGGCTGACGGCCGTTAGTATCGAAAACGCACCCGAGGTATTTGATCGACCGAAGTAGGAACTGGCATTTTCCAGCTTTTAAGCGAAATCCATACTCTTGAACACGTCTAAGGACCGTGACCAGACACTCTCGAAGTTCTTCTGGGGTTCGACCAACGATGAGGAGATCGTCCAGGTAGGCGGCCGTACCTGGAATACATATCATCGCGTCCATCGTTTGTAGAAAAATGGCCGGGAGCAGTTTTGACACCAAACGGCAGTCTAGTGCACCGCTTTCCACGTTCCACCGAAGGTGACTTAATGACCCCATGCTCCCTTACCTGCGGCTGTTAGTATCTATCTAGTTTGAAATGTAAATGTTATTGCACTGTCGGGGACAGCTCATTGCTCCAGTGCTTTGCACTGCTTCAACTGGAATGGTAGCTCTTACACTGTGGCCATTATGGTCATCGGCCTTCAGCGCTTATTGTAAAGAGTGATGACGCAACACTTACCTAACTGCTGGTGTTTAACAGATTCGATTTGATTGGCCTTATAAGTGACTGCAATGTGCTGTTTAGTGTAGGCGAATTACTCTCAGGGGTACTCATACCACCGTACTTTATTTACCTCCGTTCTCATCGCGTTTCATCATTTCACCATGAAGACGTTCGCGTTTTAAGGTTTGGTGACATCTGAGGAAGATCACTTGACAATTAAGAGCTATGCTCTTTCCCGTCTTTACTTCAGTTCTCAGCGAGTGACTAACTTTTTGCACATTCGTTGTTACTTGGCTTTCCCGGTGAACCTTTTAACGCCTTTTAAGTGCAGTCGTCACTCGTTCAATAGACTGGCTTACGAGCGTCCGTTGTGAAAGTGTAATGTTTTCTCTACTGAAATTGCCTATTCATACCGTGTCCACACATGTCTACATTGTTTTCTACTGCATATAATTCTACTGGGGTCATAATGCAGAACGCATGTTTTCTCCCCACGCCTTTCGAACTATTGGCGAGAAACTGACATTACAAATGCACCCGTTTGTTGCTTACGTTAGACAAGAGTTTGTGTAATTTGCTCGTGTTATGGGTTTGACCACTTTTTCCACCGCCCCCATTCTTTTCGACAGTGCGTTCCGGACGAAGATGATGGGGATGCTGTGGAAGACGCGACCGAAATGCGTGAACCCAACGACACGATCAATACACAACCCACAGGTTCCAAATCTGCGTTCGCACACTCAGCACCGTATAAGAAGCAGAGTGTTTACGATCCACCAGAATGGAGCGATTAGTCACGTTCCGGCTCATTTATCAATCAACAGCGCACCTTTTATTCCATTTTAAAACATGTCGGTTTTTGTCAAACATTTTTTAAACGCATTTGTGTACGCACCCGATTTTCTCTCCTGGTGTTGTTACTTGAACCATAGGCATCCCATTTGGGCCGTTTGCGGATCCGCTGTCATCTGCACTGGGGAGTCATTTCATCAAAAGTGGTCACTTCGTATAAATTGATTCAAATAGTTTACTCGTTGCGAACAGTATGCTCCACTCGGATGAATGTCCGCTATGGATGTGTCAAAGTCATAGGTTCCGTCATGTCTAATGCATGCCAGCATGCCGGACTGACCCATCCTCACCTTGTGCTACAATTATATTGTTGGACCAAATCAACTGAGCTACATTTGGGTATTAGAAAGCAGCTAGGTCCTCCCTGCGTGCGTTACCCATGCTGCGCTTTAGTAGTGACGCTGTTGAGTGGAGAAGAAGCTGATTGCCTCACTAACTGAGTAGGTATTTGATATTGGAACACTATCAATTTTCCTGGTAAATTTCAGTTCGGCTCGTCTACACTTCTACAGCTAGGTTTTTCGAAATGCGCCCTGACAATATGGTGCGACTGAGAACTACTGATTGGCCTAATTGTCCGTCGCAGCACCATAGTTTACGTTTGGCGATTGACTCAGCTGTACCGTTTTCTGCAAGGTCAGCTATCTCAAATTTGTTGGTCACCGCAGGTCGCACACTGTTTCTCTATCCTCTGTTGGCTCATACCCCCAGAATACGGCCTTAGAGGATAACAGCATGCACGTGATTGGAAGTTTGGATTGGGAAATAGATAGCACACTTTACCGATTAATTCTGGCGTTAAAAGAGCCTAGAAATCACCCATTATTTTATTACCCATTTTACCACGGTTCAGCCAGCTCCTGACTAATAAGTTGCAAATCAACCAGTGCTCACCTTCGGTTGAGCCTAATTGCCAGTGCATACTCTGAACGGGTTGAAGAACGTGCACTGTTCGTTCCGCTCCTTATAAACCTGCATGTATTTGCTTCAACCATACTATTATGGGACTTTACGAGTACATGTTCACGCTTTACTTACTTCCCACTACTTTGAGGGACAAAGTGTTGAATCGAATCTGACACTGGAGTAGTATGTGGATTCGAATAGTACAAGTAGTATTTCATCACATCTAGACTCGGTCAGACAGCCATCATACGCCCGGAAAAGCACTGTACGACCTTTCCATGCTTTCAGGAATCATCAACAGTGCCCATTTCATCTGACCTCTGTAGGGTTAGGACCTGCGATCCGACTGTTACCACCCCTTGGTTAAGACCGCTCGGCTACGGGTTATGGTAACGACCGACATGGCTTCTCGGGATGAACAGCTTGGGAGTATCATATCCATGGAGCCAATCGCATAGCTTTTGTTGCGGACCCGTCAAATATCTCCGCAAAAACACGCCAGAAACTCCGGCATAATGGCTGTGGAAAGCGAGGTCCAATTCCTCCCCAAAACGCAGCAGCGTTAAGCCACTCCGAGACGCGGCCCAACTGCGCACCTTTTGACAATGGTCTTTTGCAAACTACCACCCCGTCGTGGTAGCTATTTTCCTTAACTTAATGACTCATAGCATTGGCTGTGATTTACCCTTTGTTGATCGTAAAAGAGCCTTCAGAGGACCGCCCGTCTTTCTTCCTCTTCGCCTTACTTGGGAGTCGGTCGGGTCACGTGATTTTGCGTTCGTCGTAAGCCAGGCAGCGTTCGCGTCTAAGTCACTAGTGCGCATTTACCGTAACCCCCTCTCGTGTGCGTCCGTTCCGAGGGCTCAGCGTCTACCGGAATACGTGCGGCCAGGGTCGTTCTCACGCTCGCTCAATTTCCGTCTCATCAGCGCGTACCCTGAGCTAAGCTAGCGCCGTCAAGTCAGCGCAAATCCGTTCGATTTGCCAGCGTTCCAAGCCGTTACCGTAGGCGTGCTCCAACCGTGCCAGTGACAATCTTATCAGGCATCTACGCAATCATATCAGAGGCGTCCCTCAATCGTAACAGTTTTCTTGCACCATCCATCGGAGAGTTGGTTGATGCTAGGTCCCATAACTTTGCGCAAACGTATATGACCCAGGTGGGATAGAGTGAAGTAGCAAGTAAATGAGATGGCTAAGTGCACCGAATGGTTGTCACCACCAGACTTGTGCTAGAATCCTGGACATGTGGGGATGAGTATTTCCTGATACCGAACGTTTCACCCCGCACAGGATCTTTCGACGTCCCCGATGTGTCATTTCGTATACTCTCGTCATGTACTCTGGCATATCATCTCGGAAGCATGTATGAACGAGTGTGATGTCGAAACACTCCTGCTTGAGATACCAGTGACCAAGGGCAGAGGTGTCTATGCCATCGAACTTACGTTCGGAACAAACCCCGTGGACAGTTTACTTTGACCATAATCTGTGAGTACCGCCTGTCGGATCTTTTGATTATGATGCTAATTCACAGCTATTTGATAGCGGATTACGCCGTCACATTTTTAGTTATTTTGTCCTATCTTCCTACTAACTGTGTCTCAAAGACCATCACGGACGTATTATGCCCATGATTGTCATCCATCATACAAGGAGCTAGAATACAGTTATTGCCATAGTTGTAAAGGACGTGACCACCCAGCTGGCCTCTTGTTAACTTCGTCTGTGGGGCAAACTGGGGTTTGTGCTTATCGCGTTGACGACAGAGACTGATTTCGCTGACAGCATTTCAGTCGTGATCTTCATGTCAGGGACATATCCTCCTGTCGTAAACGTTCATCTTGCTTCACCTGTGGGTTACCGTGAGTTCTCATTATTATCAATACATGTTAATCGAGGGTGAGAGACGCCTTATCCAATGTGCCGCAATACAAAAAAGATAAAGTGATTTAATATTACAGACTAAAAATGCTATAAGCAACTAACAGTATGCATGAATTTTGAGACCGTTGTTGGAGGAACGATGAACAATTGTTGAACAGTAATTTATCACGGGTAAAAAAGCATGTGCTAGACAAGTCCCGTAGGATGGTTGGCGTAAAAATTAGAATTTGAAGGATCATCGAATAACTAAATCGTTATTTTAAGCGTCCACCGAGTTAGATGCACTACTGCATAACGATAGTCTGAATTGGGAAATGGATGCGCACACGCAAATAGTATAGAGAGCTGTTATAGCTCAGTAAGTGAGTGAGAAATAAAAAAGGAAACGACAACGTTTACTCGTTTGTTTCTTCATTTGACAGATGTGGCGTGTTAATCCAGTTTACCTACATCCAGGCTACTCACAGACACTTCTGCATGTATCCTCACCGCCACATGTCGGAGAGGGCCGCTAAGCATATGGTTAGGTTTGCGTTATTTCGTCCTCCGAGTCGAACGGACTATATCAAGTAATGCAAGTTTGAAAGTGTTTCATCAAGGCATTTTTTGAAAAGCGTTAATGTAGGGGCAAGGATAACGTGAGTCGGAAGTGCATTCCATGCACGGGACACACGCAGGGAGAAAACGTTTCGTCGACAATCAAGTCGACTGTAGTGCGTAGCCAGTTTGAGATGATGGCCTCTCAGGTTGGTATTTTGGCTCAGCTGCAACAGATTGCGACATGGGTGAGTTGGGTTCGTCAGTATTAAGTAAACCATGATTAGGTCTCCTCGCTGACGTCGATATTCACCACTGTACAATCTCAGGGACTGCAGTCTCCATTGATAGAGAGATGAAACAATCCTCTAACGAGTTTGGTCGCTCTACATTGTGGGGCTTCAAATGCATCGACGTCGCGCTTGCACCAGGGACGCCAGGCCTGGATCGCATATTCCACGTGAGACCTCACGTAGGCGTTCAGCATCTGCGGAAAGATTGATGGCTCGAAATTGCCAAAACCCCTCCATAAGAGTCCAAGATGTTGACTGGCTCTTTCTGATGCCTTTTCAGCCTGTTTTGAGCAACCGAGGTCGTCCTGCACGATCACCCCGAGGTCGTTTTCTTGGGAAGCACGTTGTAACTGCTGGTCCTCAAGTCGATATCCATAGATAAGCTGATAGCGGATTGATTTCGGCGGAATTCGTGTTTCTGTGACACCAGGATATTGTTCCTCTCAAGATAGCCCATAAGCGCCTCTGCAATTATACGTTCCATTACTTTGGATAAAACTGGGAGGAGATTGATTGGACGGTAGTTCGAGGGCTCCGAACGATTACCACTTTTATAACTAGGAGTGACTATTCCATGTTTCCACATTGTGGGAACCTGCATTTCGTCGAGACGACGTTGAAAGAACCGAGCTAATGGTTCTGCAAGGTTCATGGCCGCTGCCTTCGGTTTGATGTCGTCCACACCAGGTGAGCTGTGCACGCGCAATGACATTAGCGTTTTCATCACGCTGGCTGCTGTGAACGATACATGCTTCAACCCTGGTGGCGATACATTCTGTGTAAAAAGCGGATGAAATGATGATTCACTTCGGAAAGTATGCACGAAGTCTTGACGAAGCACGTTGGATGCGTCTTGTGTGGTTTGCACAAGACCATCTGGTGCATGTAAAACCGGGATCCTGCGCTGCACTCTGCGGAGCTTGTTGACGTGTCTATACAGCAAATTGGGATTTGTACTGAATTTCGCCGCTAACTTCTGTTGGTGCTGGAGTTTGTCTTCGCGGATCAACTTGACGCAGTGGTTTCGTTGAGTTGTGTAACCACCCCAGGTCAGGTTACTTGGACAGACTTTGTAAGCGCGTCAGGCTGAATCCCTTAAACCCATGCATTTTCTAGTTCGGCTCCTCAACAACGAATTCACTTGCTTCGAGCGAAGGACCTTGCGTTCTGACGCATTTGCCACTAGCTCAGTGAATTTGATGAGGAAAAATATCCATACGACATTGGGCGGCTTCTCGGCCAGGAAGGACCAGTCGGTTTCTTGAACGAGGTTGGACAGTATATCTTAATGTGTAACGAACATAGGTTTCCAGGTTGTTCTCACTGATGTACGCCGAGTAACAGATGTAACGAAAGTGCAACATCGCGTGATCGCTACGTCCAGGTGTTGCATCTATGGTCACGGTGTCGACCATTAGTTCCT